ACTTTACAACATGTCTAAAGTATGTTAGATGAAGCCTCAGAATCCTTGCCTCCAGGGAGCCACCTGGTTTAACCCTCTTCAGGAAGAATCTGTTTGTTTTCTTGGCAGTCCATGGTACATTCAATATTCTTCTCCAGCACCACAGCTCAAAGGCATCAATTCTCCTTCTATCATCCTTGGTCATTGCCCAACTCTCTGACGCATAACAAGTGATTGCAAAGATCATGGCCTGTATCAGACGCACCTTAGTTTCCAGAGAGACACCATTGCTCTTCAGTACTTTAGAGAGGTCCCTAACAGCAGATTTTTCCATCGCAATACATCTTTTCATTTCCTAGCTACTGGTGCCCAGAGTGTTGGCTGTGGAGCGAAGCAAACAAACTGAAGCTGTGAACAATCTCAATCTCTTCAGCATTCATCCTGATGCTGCCAATTGGTCCAGTGGTGAGAATCTTTGTCTTTTTGACATTGAGCCTCAGTCCATACTGAAGGCTGCAGTCCTTGACCTTCTGCAGCAAGTATTTCAGGTCCTCCTCAGTTTCAGCAAGGAGGGTTGTGTCATCTGCATAATGCAGATTGTTGACAGATCTTCCACCAATCCTGACCTTGTTGCTAATAGCTTTATTATATACCATTAATAATAGGTAAGACTAATGTGCCACATATACCCAAGGGAGAACACAGAAAGGTCAAAGTAATATGTGGAAATAGAAAAAATCTCTAAGGGTACATCAGGGTCTTTGTGCCACCTTGGCCTGAATATCTTTGGAACCAGGATAAAAGTTGTGTTTTTGTTCCATCTCTTTTTTTAAATTTTTTTAAAAAAATTAATTTCAAAGAACATCTACAGAGATTTTGGAATGCCATTCTTTCATTGTTGCACTTTTCTCCCCACCCGGATAAAAGTTGTGTTTTTGTTCCATCTCTTTTTTTAAATTTTTTTAAAAAAATTTATTTCAATGAACATCTACAGAGATTTTGGAATGCCATTCTTTCATTGTTGCACTTTTCTCCCCACCCACCCACGCCCAGTTCGCTCCTTTCCTTGAAAAGCAAAAGACAAAGATTCTGGATTTCCATTCACTCATTGTTGCACTTTTCTCCCTGCGCCCCCCCCTTCCAGTTCACTCTTCTCTTTGAAAAGTAAGAGAAAAATCCCATCATTGGTATACAATCAACCTGCACCCCCCAACTCCCACCCCGAGTATACTCCATTCTACAACCTTCGTTTCAGACTCTTATGATAATCATAATAGCCTACAACATATTTCTTTTAAACTGTTCTCTCC